ACTGAGCTCTGAAATAACAGACCACACATGAGCAAGAGGAAAAAGTTGAGCACAAGCGAACTGCATCCATCAGAGATCCCTGCTCAGGTTTGCGGTTCCCCAGGATGCCCGTCCTCTTGGGAAAACCACACAAAGTCTGCGCATGCTGACATTGTTGGAAGTCCCACGAGCAATCGAGCAGAGACAGACACTAAGAATTTGTGAATCAAGTTGATTTCAGTCACACCAAAGAGACCCTGAGCACGTGGGAAGCTAAAGGCAGGGTTTCAGTGTGGGCTCAGCTGTGTAACCGGGACCTTCCGGACACGAACAGCGCACCTGGGGAGGGCTGCCAGCAGGTCACAGAGGTGGTTTCCTCTCTTAATCAGAGCCAGAGCAGTGAGCTGTGGCTGGGGGACTGTGACGTGCTGAAGCAGTGTTCCAGGCTGGGAAACTCCTGCCCTGCTGATCAGTCCTCTCCTTCCACCAGGAGCTAAGCAAGGGAACACCAGAGAGCCATCAGGCAGGAGCTCTGGAACCTGTTTTCCCCTTTTCCTGTAATTTCTAGGTCAGTAAGAAAGAAGTCACAAATCGCCAACGTTTCCTTTTATGCCTCGATCTCTGCAGCACTTCCCAGGGTCCTGAGCCGGGGTGGCTGGAGCTGATGCTATTAGACAAGGGTGGAAAATTGATCTCTTCCCAGCAAGATTTAGAGGGCAGTCGGACAGGAAATTACTCCAGCTGGGCACTCCGTCCCCATCGCTCGGCTCTTCCTGCAGCTAGGAGATTCACTCTGTAATTGCTTTCTTAGTCCACATTTTATCCTCAGCTGACAGAATTCCATTAGGGTGATACAAGCTGCGTGACAAAGGGATGTTTGTGTCTCACGCGGGCTGTAAGTCATTTCTCAGCAAACAAGCAAATAGTCACAGAAATGGGCAAAGAGACCACTGAGCCAGGAACCCTCCTTCTCGTGCCCTGAATACCGGGACCTCCGCGCTCACATGGGAGCAAATATTCTTCCATCACGTTGTACTCCTCCCTGCTTCCCTCCCCGTTCTTTAGAGACACATCAGTGCACACCTCCCAAATGAACGTTTCTCTCTGCAGCATTTTTGAACAGAGAATAACGAAGCAGGCAGACGTGCAGCGCCAGCACCCCTGGAACCGAGGGTCCCACGCAGACAGGAGCCCCTGTGCTGCAATCCCGGGGCTGGCAACAGCCCAGACCACAGAGAGCGAGCCGCCTCCACATGGGAAACTAGAGGAAATGGAACTGGTGCTGTAATACATCTCAACACATACACCTGGCGAGCAGAACAGGTTGGTCACACCTGCGAGACAAAGAGCAATGATTCTGAACAGGACCTTCAGGAAAGTTTTGAAAGACAAGAGTGACTTTCTTAGCACAATGATGCAGGTAAAAGACAGGCATGATGCAAAAAGCTAAAGGGGAATACAGGAAGGTGCACCAAACGCTGCAGTGTGCATTGTCACAGTACCTGTAGCGCTGGTGAAGCCATTACCAGGCAGTGTGGTCTGGAGTCCACACGTTTTGAAGAATACTGGAAGAGCTTTTCCCATTTCAGTGACTCCTACCAGGAGAGGAGCTCCTGTTAGAGCTCAGCCTCCTGGGTCAGCAGCCCCAGAACACAGAGGCCAGCCTCAGGCATCGCTAATACAACTGTCTGCTCGCACCAGTGCTGGTCTGGATGTGAATCACTTGCTATATTCCCCAGGCCAGTGAGGACTGCGGAAGCAGGCAGCAGGAGGGAATGGGAAATGTTCCTGTCCTACAGAAGAAAAGCCATTGACTCAAACACAGGGAAAGCAGACTTCATCCCCTGCGGGAGCAAGAATTCAGATGTTAATACAGGACTTCACCTTTGTTCGTACCTGACTGGGGCTGAGCAGTGAGCTTTCCCTGGTAAGGTACGAGGTTTTAAAGACTCAGCATTCAACAACCCTCTCCCCTTGTTCTCATTGTCACACCATCACTGGCAGTGGGTCCGACCTCTGGTCACTCCAGCATGGTACCTGGTATACAAGGTCTCTGCCCGGTCCCCCAACACCCCGGCACTCACTGGCACCATCAGGCTCTGGCAGATGTTACCAGCCTGGCACACACCCCTGAAATGACGGGACTGAACACCACTGCGGGGAATGACGAACACACGAAGAACCCAGTAAAAACCCAGCAGGACCCGGCAATCTTACAGAAAACAGCATCACCTAAGCAGGATGCTGTGGTGCAACTTTATGTCCAAGTCCAGCCTAAGCCACGAGAAGGGCTCAGTTTAATTCAGCTGCTGTCTGTAGCTCCTCATGTAGCTCTTACTGGTTCACCTGACTCTCCTGACTCAGTCATACACAGGCTTCCACGTCATCTACGCTGCCTGTTACACCATCTGCATCACTACTTGCTCCCTTGTCCACAGCAGCTGCTTCTCGCTGCTCTATGAATTCTACTGGACTAAACCCCAAAGAGGCAGGAACTGCAAACAGAAGTCCCAGGCCTTCCCAGGAACCCCAGTTTTCAGATTACACTGTGAACACTGATAAAAATCTCTTTTTAAAGATCAAAAAGTAGGCAGCATGACATGTGCTTCCTCAGAGATTATTTCTTTATCCTCTGCCCTTCTCAGTGTCATCATGGGACAAACAAACTCACTCCTGTTCTCTTGATCCAACCCCTTCAAAGTGAGTCACGACAGGTGAAGGTGAGCAACCATGACATAAAGGGTTTTGAGCAGCCGAGAAAATGGGCTAAAATTTAATAATTTACATCAAAGGCTTCAGCAAGAATTCATATTAATTCTTTCTTTTCCTTTGCCATGCTTTTGTCAACGTTGAATGATGTCTTGCTGCGCACATTCTTGCTGGATGCCTGTTGCTGGAGCTTTGCCCAACTCTGACCGAAGTGCTCCGCGGGGATTTGCTTGATCGCGTGTTTATCTTCCTCTTTTCTGTAAATGCTAGTCTGACATGAATGTACTTGTGACTAGCTAGTTAGAAAAAGGTGGAAAAGTGTAGCAAAACTTGGTTTTTTTTTAACCCCAATTCACTGTGGAAATGAGTCTCTATGTTGGAGTACCTAGGGCTGATTAGGGTTGAAAAATCATGAGTCCATCGCACAGGACTCGAGACGCTCCAGACAGATAGAGAGAAGACAGATGAGCGTGGAAAGTCCCCTCCCTCTCATTCCTTTTCTGATCAATAAGAAGGATGCTATTCTGTGCCAGGAAACGCAACAGGTTTCATTTCTCTTCATACCCAACACAATTTTCTCAGAAGAACAGACAACACGACAGCCTCATCTCACCTAGAGACTGCCTGACAAACCTGTGACTGTGCCTTAAGTTTTAAATACCTTGCTGTAGCCTCTCCTCTTCCAAAAACATTCCTTTATATCTGTTCTTAGCCCTACCAATAACTCTCCTGTCAGCTCCTCCTCTTTTCATTTTGGAGTTTTGTGTGATGGTTATCTGATTTGGAGCAAAAATTAAAACCTGCTTCTTGCAGAGCTACACTGGGAACACACGAGGGGAGACAGTTCTCAGAGCAACAGAGGGTTCCTGTGTCCGTGCGGTTCAGGAAGAGCCTTTATACGAAGTACAACACACTCACACACACTATTCTAAAGTGTTTTGTATTTATTACAAAATACATTTTTTTGCTCCATCAATTACACAGAAATCCAGGAGATGCATTCCTATCTTGTGTCTTTTCAGCTTAGTCAACAACTGCTAAGAAGTGTGCTTCTCGTAAGCAAATATACAAGATACTGCACTCCTGACTAGTACAGAGAGGAAGGCAGCACATTTTGACTCTGTCTCAGGAGCTGCAATAGTGTATCTCTGTTTCATGTCTGAAAGCACACACTGACTTCAGAGTGCTCAGTTCCCCCTGGAAACAACGAGCGAGTTCTAAATGAGAAAGGAAGAATCTTCTACGGAAGAGATGTACAGATTGTCACAACTGACAGATTTTCAGGGAGAAGTACATTTGCATAGCTACAAATCCTGCTGCGTGATTATTTGGTTAGTTTTGTTTAAACTACCATATACGCAGGGTATTTTGTGTTAAAAAACACAGTTCACTCCTTACCTCCTGCTAGTTACAATGCATTTACCGTTTCTCTGAAGTGATGACACGCTGCTGGTTGGTGCAGCACAGGGGTATGTCCTCCTCGTTCACATAACCAAATTCAGGCAAAAGAGGAGAAAAGAGCATTGCTGTGTCGCTGGAGGACTCTGAAGAGTGTGCAGAGCACCTGTCAATGGCACTTCAGGCAAAGCAGCTATTTTGCTTTTTTCATGGTAGTGAAATAATGAAAGAAATAATTATTTCACTGCAAAAGATGACAGCTGAAAATTATTAAACTTTGACAAACCCGCTTCCTGATCTCCTTTATCTAAACACATTCATCCCACTTCTGCATGCCCAGAGCGACCTCTCCAAGTATCAGAACAGCGGCAGCCCCCGGAGAGAGCCAGGGCAGCAAAACACACAGAGGCATCCCAGAAACAGAGAGGAAAGAACATTTCCTCTAACAAGTGCATTTCCCAAAGAACTATTTACAGGCATCAGAAAGAAAGCAGATGCTTCCTTCTAGTGTATGGAAGCTTTGTGATCATCCAGCTAGGATTTAGGAACTAAAGCTTGAGAAATACCCTGAAAGCTTCGTGTTATGACCATCCTGCTTCACCCAAGTTCTTGGTATTTGGCAGGAGCAGCCAGCAATCAGGTCTCACTCGCTCCTTTATGTTCCTTCCTCCCTGGATTTGCAATTAAGAGAGGGGGTGAAAAAATCAGACAGATAATGACAATTAAAAAAAACACAGAAAACTGAATTCATGCTTTGAATTTCACTACTGAAGAAAATTTACTGTAGTGAAGAAAACTTCCTCTGATAAGACAGGAGGTGGTTCAGCAAAAATCTTCCCTTTGGATGATATGCATCTTGAAGAGCTAAAATGCAGGTATTTCGGACCAGGTGACTCTCCAATCACAATCCCGTGTTATCTTTTCCTCCTCTGCAGTCCTTTTTCACATATGCAGGTTTTTGGACGCAAAGCTGTTAAGGAAAATTGAGTGCTGTGTTAAGACCATACCTGTATGAACAGTGCAGCCGCAGACTAACATGAGGAAGAAACTTGCCCGTTTCTCTTTCCATCCCAGAACGAAAGCTAAGCTGCTCTTTTAGTAATGAGTTCACATTGACAGTGAGTGATGCCAATTTTTTCACAGTCCCATGGAATCACTTGCCTATGGAATCTGGTCTGAATTCAGCGTTGACGCTGTTCTGAGTAGCAGGTTGGACCCTTCCTCAGGAGGGGAATCCCTGCAGTCTCCCCCAACACTAATTATTCTCCTAATCTCTGTTACCAACCACTGCGGCTGACACCAGCAGGTACTCCAGAGGAGACGTGGGGCAGACGGCAATAGGCGATGCTCAGCTGGTGACTCCACAGCAATAGATGCACCGGCCATAGCAACGACAGCTATTCGCCACTGGACACAGGGTGCAGCTGCGCTGGAGCCCAGGATGTCATCACAACAAGCACACTGATGTTCCAAATGCTCCTGACACAGCTGATGCTAACGCACTAACAACTTTGAGGCTGTGTTTGTACAGGCAATGGCATTTCAAAACCTTCTCCTACAGAACCGTTATTAAAAGCCATCACACAGTGTCTGCAACACTTTCTAGAGAAACTAATTGGAGAAAGTGTCATGCTCAGGAGAGAAAACCAATCATGAATATACCAGCTTGGCTGAGAATTTTTAATGTATTTAGGGAGCTATCTGGAGTAATTTACAATGAATGACTGGGACTCTTCAGACTATAAATACAATCTACTCTTTCTCCTTGGGAAAAGAAGAAGTTGTCTTTTTAATTATGACTTTGTAAGAGAAAAGACCAACCAGAAAGACAGTGGGAGGAATAAAGTCAACATGTTTTCCCCCTTTTTACACTTATTGTGATTTGGATTTGCTTGAGGAGCACCAAGCAGCTAATTCAGAGACACACGCGCATCATCTCTAAAGCTGCTTCAAAGGCCAGTGGGGATGCATGAGCCTATTATTCTAAAAGCTATCTATGAACCTGGACCATTAACACCAGTTTTCAGTTTATCTTCAGTCAGTTTCTTTCCTGAGGAGTTCTGTGTATGTGTCAGTATAAACTATGACTACATGCCACGTGTCTTTGATTTATATCATCCACTAGATACAGAATAAAAATCCACCACAGTATGACACTCTTGGTGCCTTCCTATGGCAGAAAAAGTAGAGGTAAATATATAAAAGAGGTGTAAGTCTCCCCAGTTTTCCCAGATTAGGTCTATACCAACGTTCATGACCCATTGTGTCTCTGTAGAAAGTAAGCAGAAGAAAACCGTAGAAGACAGATCTAACCTGGGTCAGCCACCGCCTGCTTCTTTTTGCTGTTTGTGACAATCTCATTTTCATTCATCATTCGTACATCCTGATCTCCCACGTGATTGCTGAAAAGATTAAAATCAGGACAATAGCCAAAATAATCAACACTGTGAAAAGTTCAGAGAGCCATGGAAAAGGTGAGTTATGTGGGTCCTGGAGGCTAAACAAAGCTATGAACACAGGCGCTTTATCTGGGACTATCTCGAAGGGAAAGGCATTCTGTCTGCATACACCTGAAGGATTTCCTGCCAGTTTTAATCAGTGGCACTCACTCAGGCACACATTTAAATATAAATATCATATTCACTCGACAATTTTCTTGCCTGCCTACGCAGCTTGAGCCACATTAACCACAGTGAGATTTTAAATCAGTGCTGTACAGAGAGGGTATAAACACCCTTATATGGAGCTTAGGACTGTTTTGTCATGTTGATATAGCATTATTTGAAAATTTTCTGAATGAAACAATACTAATTTACTGTGACAAGTTTTGTTTGCAGGCTGCTGCAAAATTTTAACAATTTCTTTTTGGGAAAGAAATAATAACTTCAAAGGTAAATTAAATTTAACAAATTACAGAAAAAAAATATGAGCAGAATTGAACGTTAAAGAAAACATCGCTAATAACATCTCCCTTTCACACAGACAAAGCCAAAACATCCATGCCTTTGGAAAAAAAAAAAGAAGTGTATTTTTCTTGTCTCTACAAATACTGCACAAAATAGGTTTCTGGTTTTGGAGAAAAATGTAATGTCTCTGAAACTGTCAGAGTGAAACAGGGGAACCGATACTGAAGTAAATCAGAACTTAAGGTATTGATAACATCGGTCTCAAGTTCAGGGTTCATAAAATACTGAACAGTGACATGGGAAAGAGAACAGGCCGAAATCAGAAGTAACAATATATAAAAGCTCAAAAGCATTTTTTTAAATGGAAGGATATCATCCAGCATGTAGTAAGGGATTTGTCTTCTACTGCTAAAGTACCCTATATTTCAGTTGGGCAGTACATGGAAGAAGGGAACAGAAGATTACAAAGCAGGCTAAGAAGAAAGACCAAGAAAGCTGCTGTGCAGGAAGTCTAGAAGAGAAGAAATGCTGCGTGTTCCGGGCTGGAAAACAGATCATGCAGTTTGAATGACCCAGAAACTATACCCCTCTTAAAACTTCTCTGATTCCAATAAAATAACGTTACTCATAGAAAGATGTTAAGCTGAAGAAAGTAAAGCTTCATTTCTCCTCCCCCTTTCTATAACCCACTGAAAATTTTCTCAAAACTTGTATTTCCTCCAAATTTTACCCTGACAACATAGCCAAGAACATGAGTCTACACAACACATCCCAACAATAATAATTTATTTCAACATCTGACAGTACCAGCGGCCAAGAGCCAATGCTTTAGAGAACCACAGGACAACAAACTCCGTAGGCGAATGTTAACTTCTGTTCCTAATCAGGACAGCTCACAATCCTTCCACTTATTTATAAATATTTGAATATTCTTCTGAATGAGTCATGTGCCCTTTTTGAATGCAAAACAGTCGCCTTTTTTTTCCAAGTGATGTATGTGCAAGACATTCTATTTGTTAGCTGTGCAATGTATAACAAAATGTTTATTTCTATAAGCTTTCAATTTCTCACTTTTCAATCTCATTTAAAATAAATTATTCTTTCAATCTTTATTTTCCGTGCTAGGGACTCTTTTTTAGACCCTATCAGTCCTGATCCTCTAAATATAAGTGCATTTTTCGCTTCATTTCATCATATTTTCTCTGAGATTGCCAACTTAGTGGTTTCAAAGTGTCATTCCTCTGAATACGATTCATTTCTCATTTAAGAAGTTCATTATTTTAGAACAGTTATAATGTAGTAGAATTGTGGTTCCTTGATTAGTGCCAAATCAGATGACTTTATTTTCTTTACTTTTGATGTTTGGTTCTTTTTCATTAACTTTCTATTTGTAACAGAAATACATTCTAGATGTAATATCATTGGGATTTATTATTTCTTCTCTAAGGAAGCTTAACTTCTTTCTTTTGTGTTTATTACTATAGACTTCCATGAAAATATATGAATATGAATCATGAATGCCAGTAAGTGCTAAGAAATGCTTACAAATAAAGCTGCCAATTTGGTTCCAGTATCTAAGAAACTACTGGTTATTTCCCGTTAAATGAGGCTAAGTATGCTTTGGAAGGGAATTTCCTATAGCAACATACATATTGATGACATTAGTCACATAAAAACATTTTTTGAAAACAAGACTCTTTCTTCCAATCAAGACCCACTCACATACCTAATAACAGTTCTCTTCTCCTGATGGCAAATCTTCTCATCATCTGTGAAGAGAATGGTGTGATATGGGACCACCGGATCACAGGTTGGTAGGATGCCCGATACTACATGGTTCACCATGTCCAGAATCCCATTGTAGACAAGCAAGTCATCCACCAGAAGCTAGAAACATTTAAGAAACAAACAAAAAATCTAGAAATCAGGCATTGCTTCCAGCAGTTGTCTCGATCAAATAACTAGAAATTATTTTGCCCTATTTGTTTCATAGGTCTTGTCATTGTTTAGCTTTTGTTCCTTAAAACTTCCGTTTCTCTCTATTCACTGCTGGGTTTTGATTTTTTTCCCCAAGTTTTTCCCTTCTCACTGATGTTCCGAATGTAGCTTTCCAGTAGGTAATTAAAAATGTATTTTGTGTTTTACGTAATTGCCATTCTATTCCCTGCAGTGAATCACTCTTAAATCTAGGAATTAATTAATCTCACTTCATTTCAGCTGTCTGAAACTTGGGTTTGTAGTTTAAAGTAGTCTTCCAGGCCTGCTCTATAGCCAGTGGAAAAAGTTATTATCCTATTATCCTATCTTAAGACAATTACCTAAGAAAAAAATCAGATACAGTGTTCCTTCCCCGGACAAGAAAGGGAGGACGGATGACTGGCACAGATTAGTCAATTTAATACTGAATGCAGAGTCAAACGAGATGAATCCGGTCCTTTGAGATTTTATGGAATCACACTTCAGTAAACTGTGAAAATAAGTACAGAAATCAAGCGAGCTGACTCACCCGCACATACAGCATGTATACAAAAATTACTTACACCAAATTCTTTCACACCTCTCTGAGGTGTTTTGGCATAATTCCACAACTTGATCATTGACACCGTAGTAGGTACATCAAAAATGACATACACCCTATTCACCTGGAAAAGAGAATTAATTCATATTTAAGAGCACAAATTCCCCAAAGAAATGAAATTTACTTTCAGTGACATTAATGTCAAGATGTAAAGACCAAAGATGAGGCTGCAGCAAACTGTTACGGTTAATTCCATGCTATTCTTTTCATGAGCTACTATATCAGCTTTGGGACAACATATCTTAAGCTAGCATCCTCTGAAGATTTAATCCTTTGATGCATTGGACAAGATACTGTTAGTCCTATTAAATCATTATGCCTTTTTTTACTGAAGAAAGAAAGGTAGATGTGATCAATACAACTGTTTATATCTGTGATTTTCCAGAAGACAATTTAGGCATTAGTCTCCAATGGCAACTGTTGGTCTCACAGCTAATTATAAATTTGATGAAAAATACATTCAAACAAATAAATAAAATGACAATCAGTAACAGGGGAACAAAGAGTTCAAATTGTAGTTACATTAGTAATAAATTAGCAAAAGACAAAAACACTTTTAGAATGAGAAAGGAAAAGATATTTAGAAATTAAAAGAAAGGCTATAATACAAAATGTCCTTAAAGCTTAGAACCTGCCAGTATAGCAAAGGGTTAATTCAGCTTTCCAGTACATATAAGCTTTGGTTCAGCATCCCAACCACAGAGGATGATGGTGAATAGGCTGATTGCTTAATCCCTGTGCACATCCTGGCTGTACAGCCACATCATGGAAGATGGAAGAGAGAAAAGTACTGTGTGGATCTTGAAAAGGTATCATTTGCTGCGGTTTAAGGATAGAAAGCATCATTAAATTTCTTACTCTTCCCTCCTGCATATCACACTTGATCAATTTGCCCATTTAATACTGATATCTGATGTTCTTCTGCTGTGGCTTGGTGTCAGACACAGCAGAACAAAACCTGTGCCAGAGCTCCAGGTACTGCTGTTTTCCTTTTGCCAAAATGAAACAGCCTCTGCAAGCACGTCTTTTGTAGAGGACACGAGCATACTCAGATGATTGTCAAATCAATCATTGCATGATGTTATAATGGATATCTGAGCAGCCCATCAAATTAATTACCAGGATTCAAGATGTGGGATCTACACAGTAGGAGTCTCAAGCACTAGGCAGACCTTCTGTTTTCCTGAGAAATGCAAGTGGTCAGTATTCCCAGACATACTTAAAGCTTTAGTTTAATTATACCCACTGCATTACAACATATGGTGATATAGGATTTTTTTTAATTAACTTAATTATTTGCTTTTCATATTCTAATTAATAACTAACATATGGAATAAGGATTTTTTTCAACAAAGTAAGCTATAGGATGTCACACATCAGGTTTACTTCTTGTTATTTTTCAAATCCATCCTCTTTTAATAAATAAATACATCCTAATCATGTCTATAACAGGCCCATAATAAATGTCCTCTCCCAAAACAAAGTCAGAACCCATCTAAGTGTATCCACTTTTCCTGTTTGGATATTTGAGACCCCATATTTTAAACACGGGGCTTCTGAAAGGGCTGAATCTCTTTGGGCCTTAGGACATTAAGTACTAAGTCTGTCCTCTTTAATTTATGAATTTGAATTCAAGACACATAATGACATTAAGAAAAAGTCTCACTGCTGGAACCGCATTCATTGCTTTTTGTAAAAACAAATTTAAGATCCCAGTCTGTTCCCATTTGAAAGGCATTTATTGCACAAAACACGCATATTAGACTCCTTTGTCAGTATCTTTATCACAGTAACCGATAAAAAAGCTGTGCTAGCCTTGGAAATTCTTCTGCTGTTGCACCATGGAGACAGAAGGAGATTACAAACCTGGGAAATCTATACTGCTGCTATCTGTGCAGCGAAAAGAAACTGGAATAAAAAGAACTTCCGCTAAAAGGGAGTCATTTAGCATCATTTACTAGTATCAAATTTACCTAAAAATTACATACGCTTTCCCCTTTCCTTTATGCTCCTAGCTACAGCTATGCACATCACTAAAACGGAATGAAAAGGGAAAATGTACCAAACCAGGGAGAACCGGTGCAAGCCACATGTGTCTGCCGTCGGTTGTGTCATTTACTCTGTCAATGAGTTTGTCTGGAGTTCGGATGTCGCCAGATACATCTTCTAAAATGTTGACACTATCTGGAAAAGCAGCAATATCTGAAAAAAGCTTTAAGCTCAAATAACGAATAAGTACGTTTCAGAAACACCATGCTTAAAAGTTGGTGCCTGCTTTTCCAGATTCCATGAGCAAGCAGTCTCCACTCCAGCAGGAAAACAAAAATACTCCAAGGACTTCACTTGGGTAGCCAAGGAATTTGGGGGCATATTTTTAAAAGCAGGACAACCCTTACAGATTCTGGCATCCAAAATTATTTTTAAAATAGGAAAGAAATTATCTAGCTGCATTTAATTTATTTTCAGGTACATATTTATGATTTCATCAACAAATTTCCTGTATCAGGAATAAGCACTCCCCAGCTTTTTTGTGATAAAGCCCCACTTTCTCAGAATGAACTTGTGAAGGCTCCTCATATGAAACATGTCTCAAGAAAAGTATCTTTGTAGGAGACAGTCGTCAGTGAGATGAGGTTTTCCTTGAGTTCCTGAAGGTTTGTGACAAAAATCAGTACCTGTCTAATAGTGCCTTCTTTCAGTTCTTTGAGAAGGAAAAATTAAACCTTCTAGGTAACTAGATTTTCTCTGTGAGAGATCATTCATGTTAAAAACATACGTGTGTTAAAGACATGCAAAGAAACGTGGACGGATGGCACTGTCTTCAGAATGATAAATCCCTAGCAATCCAGTTTGAGGGACACTCATTTCCCCTTGTCTTGCTTTTTAAAGGCCTGAGTCTGTCCGTATTTATAAAGAAATTAAGGAATAACACAGCAATGCCTCAATTGTTCCAGAAAAGCTTGTTCCAGACTCCCTGGTGAATTATCACGTGTAGTGCTACACTAAGACCAATACGCTCTTTTTGGGATCCTAACATAGCCAAGCAACACTACTGTGCAGGCAGAAACAGGCGATCATCCCAAACGAGCTGAGGTATCTTCACCTGGCATTGCATCGGATCGTAAAGAAATATATCTTAAAAACTAAGTTAAAGATCTGTTCTTAAAAACAATCTGTCACCACTTTCAAATTTCAAAATGCTGCTTCTCCATTACGATGCTTCAACTTCATTACGCATCATCCAAGACACAAATGAAAATAGCACCCAGGAGAGAGCCTTTACCTTTTTCACTGTCTCATCTATTTATTAGGCAGTGGGGATCCTCAGAGACACACAATTCCTGCAGCATCCATGCTTTTTATCTTGCTGGCTAAGAAACTGTTTCTTCCGTGTGGCTGAACTACATGAATGATATGTTGGGGTATGAAGCTTTCAGCTCTCAAGAGACTCTATCTGACACAGAGCACTGAAGTGTGACCTTGATGACAATGAACCCTCCAAACACGTCCTTCATTCCCTCTGTTGGTTACCCAGAGAACACTGAATCAAATTCAGAGACTCTGCCCTGATCTTCAGGACTGGATAGGGTGTCTAGAATAGCCTAAAGCTCCAGAACAAGAGTTATGAAAAATTTCTTTCCTGTGGCCCAATGAAAGATTCCATAAAAAAGAACAGAGCTCAACTCTTTCTTATGAATTTATAGCTCATCAAATTTTCTGGTCCCTCCAAACTATAGAAGAAATAAATGTTGATAGCAAAAAATAACATATCCTTCTTAAGCCTTGCCTTCTCCAACCTTGTCCTGCTTTGTTGGTGCATCCCATTCAGAGAAGAAATGTTCCAAAAGGATATAGAATACACTAAAACACATCAAAACAGGTATCATCATGCAAATACAGAGACATACAAGTAGAGGAATCACATGGGATAAACTGCAACTTGGAAGAAGTAGCAAGTGATGCCACGTGATAATTTGCCAGGGAGAAAACGGCTTATCTGAAAGGGACAGAGGTGCTCGATCTGCAGAAGGATACTGTTTTCCGTTAGTAAGATTTGCTCTCCATGTTCATTGAACAACTCGAGTCCGTTCAAACCAATGTAGTACGGATCACCCCAACTTGTCAGAAGCTGAAACTGGAAAATAACTAAAAAGCAAAAAGCCATTAAGGAAAATTTTGATATCAATACTTCATCCTAACAGATTATTTAATTTGCAGTTTCAAAACTAACTATACAGCCCACATCTCAATGTCAGACATTCTTATTTGCAGTTTAGGTGAGTTACACCGTGGGTGAAAAAATTATCTTTTTCCCTTCTGACTTTAACCTCTTAAACCTCTCCGAATAAACAATTTTATTTTAAGGCAAGAAGTCTGCCATTTCTGTTACTGATACACACAGATGGAAACCTGCAGGCGGCACAACTAGGCAAAAGTCTACCTATTTATGTTCATACATACACATGTTCACATATATATATTTTTTCACATATGTTCTTCTATCAGATGAAGAACTAATGAATGAATTTTTTCAGTGTGTGTCCTACCTTGTTATACACTGCAACTTTTTAAAACCAGACCTCCTATTTGACATCTTCACTGCCAGCATGTGTTTCCTGAATATGCCTTTGCCTGGTTTTGAATTATACAGGTGACCAGCAAATAACTGGTTATTGAATGATACAACTGGCCAGCAAATATGCCCCCAAACTGAATGGCAGAAAATGTAATGATGGAGTCTGTGCTGCCCATCTCTCTCACGCAGCACCCATTTGTATCTCTTTCCTCTACCCAGCCACTGATTTTCAGGAAACTGGCAGGAACTTAGTATTGTTGAGAGCTCATTGTCTCCAAACTCGGTTAGAACAGCCTCATGGCTTTAAAAGGCCTGACAAATAGAGGGATGGCACAACAGTAAGGATTATCACAAAAGGCTGTGCTATGCCTCTCTAGGAAAATACAAGCTTAAAAAGTCACAAACATGAAGAAAAATGGCAAAAATATTACACAGTTCTGGTCAGCATTAATAAAGACATAAAATGAGACAAAAGTTCAAAGATATGAAAAAATATGAAGATTACTTGTAGCTTTGATAGGCTGGCTGGATACTGTGCTAATGGACCTCTAGCTCCAGCTTGGATGGATTACAAAAGGCAGCAGAAAAAGCTACGTGAGTATCTGAAAACAGGTCACACATTGATATATTATGTTCCATTTATTTGTTCTTAATTCATACTTAACAGAAGCCTTTCTCATATTCTTGATATCCTGTTAATTTCTTAAAGCACCAGAAAATGTTGGATTCAAAAAGGTCAGGACTCATGACCATAGTATATAACTGAAATTCTATATGACAATTAAGGAAATGACAGAGAAGGATACAACCACATGGCATTAACGGTGCTTCGTAGTCCATACTAGCTTGTTCCATTCTCTTTGAACCAGTCCTGCCAAGAAAAACCACAACAAAATAGTTTTTTTTATGTACCCTTGCTTCATTCAGATAATAAGAGAATAAAACCAAAGAACTAAGCCTCCACAAACACCACCTCCAACCCCCCACCTGCGATTATGGATTAGATTGTCCTCTGATCTCAACAAACTCTGGTTAACAGTGTATAGTTAAAACCCAACAAAACATTTTGTTCTAAGTGCTTGATATTTTCATCCAGGTGCCTCACACAATTGGCTTCAACAAAGAATATGAAATAATACTAAACAGTTATGGGAAATTGTGTGGTTCATATACCAAAAACATCCCACTTTACCTCCTTGGTGCTTTATTTATCAGCTGGGGCTGCAGATAGTCAAGAAAGAGAATTTCTTGGGCGAAGTCAAAATGGCAGTTGCCTGGTCCCTTGCGGATAAGAAAGCCCTCCGGCGGGGAGATGCTGTGACCATCCAGTGTCACGTGGACTACCTTAGCCTTGTTTAAAATAACATAACACGACACGACATTACATAAAATAAAATAGATCCAAAACAACTGCATTCACTTCAGAGGCTGAAATAGTTTCAGTAATTTTGTTATATTTATTTCATTCCTCTACAGTATGACCTCCTTTGGCAAAAGAAAGCCTAAACCAGCAGATACCAGTTGCAACCCATAGTGTGCAGTTCAGAGCCTCACAGCTGACATTGATGAGGGTGGGAGAGGTGAGGATTTGGGGGGAAAAAGGCAAATAAAAAATAGGCATTGAAGAGATCCTTTAGTTACTGCATCTCACTAGATCTCAGCAAACTGAAGCTTCCTTTCTTCACCGAAAGTGTTGTCAAGCACTGGAACAGGCTGCCAGGGAAGTGGTTGAGTCTCCACCCCTGGAGGTGTTTAAAAGACGCGTAGGTGTGGAGCTTAGGGACATGGTTTAGTGGTGAACAAGGCAGTTCTGGGTTAATGGTTGGACTTGATGATCTTACAGGTCTTTTCCAACCTAAATGATTCTGTAATTCCTGAGTCTGCAGCAACACATACACACATCAACAGAATGGAGAGACTCAGCTTTCAAGTCAGCGTATGTCACAAAGGTGATTTGAGGAGACAGAGTCACCACGCACCCAAGCACACTACTGGATCGGGCTGATTGCTCAGCGCTGGCTGAAACCAGCCTTTAAGAAATCACATAACCTGGAGCACTGTCTCTCGAGCAGACTCTTTGTGTGTCTGTTGCATTTATAGAAAGCCTATATTTCACCAGTTCTATTTATCTGTGCGGCAGGTGGCACTTGGACTTTTCCAGGATGATGCAAACTCGTCTCCAAGCAGTGCTGTATGTAACCTGAAGGCATATGAATAAAGAAGAGGTTCCCGTAGCAGGCAGAGAGAATTGAGCCTTATCCACATCACGCACGTCTGATACAATCTCTGAAGATTAAATAAATAATTCAGGCATACTGATTCAGACGATGCAGGAGCCCTGGCCCCTCCGCCCTCCCCCATTAGCACCATCTGGTATCGTACGCATGATCCCAGTCACATAACAACTCAATCCTGCAGCAACCACCACCACTGCATCCTGCCCTGAAATATGTTAAATATAACTCCGTGTTAATCACAGGCAGCATTGATGGCACTGAGTCTTTCACTAAATACCGGTTAAAGAAGGAAAAATACCTGTAAAATATAACAAGATGGCCTTGTAACTGGCACTATGATTAAAGCTTGCTGATTAATGGTCTGAACCAAAATAGCTTCATTTAGTTAACAGAAGACTTAATTCAGTCTAAAGGCAATGTGAGTCAGTCTTCTAATCTTTGGATTTTAAACTGACTGATGTATATATGATAATTTGAGGTTAACTTAGTTTTGTATGCAAATATTTAAATTTCATTATTAGGATTTCTATTAAAAATACATAAGCAATATTTATAGTTAAGATCCCCATTTCAGGTGTCTGTCTGAGAAGAACTTAAACACATTCAGAGTTTTCTGCAAAGCCCAAATATTATTAGTGACCTGATACTCAAAACAGTTTTCATATTTTTTTCACTTGTAAACAATTTTTTATTCAGTTACAATTTCAGTAAGTTACACGTGCAATATCCCAAAAGCAAATAATTTTCAGGAAGATTTTTTTCTTTTTATGCAAATGTTTCTTGATTGGAAAACTCAGGTATTGTACTAGACCAGAGGAGGTGCTTTGCTCATTTCCAAACAGCATTAATTAGAAGGGAATGTTTGCATGAGTACCAAGTATGGAGAAATGACTACTTCTGGTTTCATCTTTAATAAGCTTGGGAGCAAAGAAAATAAGTATCCTTTTCATATTAGAAACTCTCCTGCATGCTACTTTCCAGCTGAATCAGTCTGCCAGGCTCAGGAGCGGAAGCGAAAAATACACTGAAAAGCATTTTAGTTTAGTATTGAATGGAAGTCTAGAGACTTAGAGATGAAATCTTACCTATTATACCACAGCTGCTTATATTTATGTGCCCTTTACAGCCCTCATTTCTAAGTAATTTTCATCATCTGAGAAGGCACTCAACCATCACGCATAGCATTTTACAAATCACATAACAAAGCTTTCACGAGGTAATTTTTCATATAGCTGGAAATAGCACACAAGCCTTCATTTTGACAGTTCACTGCCATTACCCTCTCGTACTAAAGCTGTGAATAGAATCCACCAGTCAACAGCTGCCTGGCAAATCGTTATATCTCCTACCTGGGGACTGTTTCTTAGAAGGAACAGCAATGCTTAAAGAAACAGATGTCATGATGCTCTATGCTCACAGTCTAAAGCTTCTTTACTGTGGCCCAGCAGATACCTTGCATCTCAGTTTTCCACATAATTTATTTCATCTTTCTAGAGGACTGCAGGTATGAACTCTTCATCTAAATTGTACCCATGGACTGTTAGGGGACTTACAGGCGTGCCACCTGCATGTGTACTTTTCACCAGACTCACCTCTTTTCTCTACCTAGCAAAGCAAACTGTGAAAATATACTTCTTTCTCTCTTTCTTTCTTTCTTTCTTTCTTGGTTTGGCCTCCAAAGACCAAATTCCATGTTACATTTTAGGGATTTGGTTATTTCTTTCCCTCCTTTAATAACTGAGACCCACATACAGGGAGTTGATCTGGTATGAAAATTCATGTTCAAACTTTCGTCCTCTGCTCTGCCTTGGAGAAGCTTGGGCCTACAACAGTAGTGAAAAACGTTCCCCATCACCACTTAAAGACAGTTCCTCATAGTGCGTTTTGTACACAGAATCACAGAGAGGTTTAGGTTGGAAGGGATTTCACATGTCTCCAGTCACAGCTCCTCCTCAGAGCACAGAAGCCTGCAAAGTGAAATCAGGTTGCTCTGGACCTTGGCAAATTGGGTTTTGAAAGTCTCCCACCATGCTGTCCCAGAGCTGTACCACTCTCACAGGCAATCACATCAACTAGGTAACAGATTTTACTAAAAACCCCTAGCTGTTATACTGGGGGTATGTTTAGATGGTAAGCTCAACATGCTCCTGAACCTCCCATGTGTCAAACACTGGGTTAATGCAGCATCTTAGAAAATCATGCGCCGTATGTTAAAATCTCTAGATCAATTGTGGCTTCAATGAAAGATCTTATGCTCTGGCCCTCTGGGAGTCTTTGGCCAGTCTTTGGCACGCAGCACAACCCCGTGCTGATATTAAAGATGCCAGGGCTCTGTTGTGGAGAGGGACACCTCTTATTTATGTAGTGTTCATATTAAAGCAATTCCTGCAAGGTAAACTTACACAAAGAAGCAGTTCTGCAACTTTGGCCATTATCTTGCCCAATCCTATGAAGGATCCATGTCTCAACTTCAATTCTAGAATTTTTTCTAGAACTTTGCTGATTCTTTTTGTCCTGTCCCTCTCTAGTTTAACACATACCAACATTTTCTTTCTGTCTATTGACTGTGGACATCGAGAATGCAACAGTTATACGTGAAGGGGAAGATCTGGAACCAAACGGATTCATAACCTTTCTGTGCAGTAACTACTTCATCGCTATCATTACAAGTGCACGTATAGCTTCTGAGAAAAAACAGGGAAATGAGGGACAGCAAACTCAGCATGCCAGCAAGACACAACAGGATCCCCAGCAGGTGTCTATTGCCAGTCAATATCAAGAATTCAATATGAAAAAAAATATAAAACAAGCAATTTGGAAAAAGAGAGGTGTGTTATACAATTTTAGCTAAATTACTTTAATCAAACTGTTCGAAGATGTCAACTTTCCCTAATAAATGTTAGAGTTCTAGAGACTCTTCTTGCTTCTTGGAAAAGGTAGTATTGATTTACTGGCCTTCTGTAACTTACCTAAACAGAATTTCTGTTGGAGAAGCGCTCACTGTTCTACCATTCCCAGGAAATAAAGAATCATATGGTAGGACTAAATACTAGATGCTGAGAGGATACCACTTCAGAATCACATATCTCAAAAATAATATGTGCTTTTGTATGTGTCTCTTAGAAAAATCAGCTGTGAAGACTTCTTTAAACTATCTCTGGCTTTTTTTCAGTATTTGCTGTTTGTGGAGACAGAAATGCATTATACCTGCCACAAAATTCAGACTCAGACAATCTAGAAAGATTTATGGTGTTCCATTAAGGCAGCTATATTCATTTATCACAGTACCAATTTTCCAATGCACTGCTGTATATTTTTGCTGGCAGTGCTCCTTTTCTTTTACTTACCCCTCTATAGGTATCCTCGGGAGATTTATTATAGTTCCAAAAGCGAAGCCCCGCAATACTTTCATTTTTATCAAAATGGATTGTGAGCAGATGATCTTCTCCCAAAGAGAAGGGAATGAGCCACATATGGTCATCCTCTACTGTGATATTAGTCCCATCTATTAACCTACAAAGAGAAAAATCCATTAACTGCAAAAAAGCAAAAGCTCGCTTTTCTCATGAAAAGCAGGTACTTTACTAGATGTTAATTTTTTTTTTCTAAATTATTGTGCTTCCAGGGCTTATTGTGCCCATGTGCATGCAATTAAAAAGCACAGTAAACATCAAAAATAATATGTGATGGTTGAATTAAAAACAGTGGGGGGAGAAAAAACAGGATTTCCTTTAGCTGGGTCTGTTTGAGGAAAAACAGAAAAATCCTCAATATTTCTTTGTGTGAACAGGGGCAGGCAGAGGAAAGCTCAAATACCTTTGGTACCAAAACAGCCAAAGGCAAAACTCTAATGCCCAGACACAATATAATTTATTAATATAGTTCCATGCCTAAACTAGCGCGTCTGTCACTCTGCAGTGTGTTACCAGGCCAAGGCAACCGTACCGAATCTGACAAGGAGGTGGATGGCAGCTGGGTAACCCAGAGAGGAAGCCGAGCTTGTTCACATCCTTCTTCATGAGCACAGTCAAGCACAT